ACCACCGATCGAGATTATTACGTAAATGAAGATCCGGCGCATCAGGAATTTATGAAGGAAGCGGGGGAAATCGTGCTGAATGTTAGGGTTGTTGATTATGAGATGGGTGTTTTTTAGATGGTGAAAGGGTTTGGTGGGGTAATCATTAGATGGGGCAGAAGGACGGAGGAAGGATATGGTATTTTTTGAGAGGGGTAAGAGATGCGAGGAGAGTTTGAGAGGGGTGATGGGAATGATGAGAATGATGAGAATGACAAGGGTATTCAGGAGCTGCATAGAAACTGAATAGGCAATGGAATCTCATCGCGGCGTGGCGATAGATATTATCGTGGAGGAGAACACAGACTGAGATGATTAGTGCTCAACAAGTGCTAGATAAAAATAGACCACGAAACAACATATCTAAAATAAGAGAACATCGATGGTATCATGAAATTTCTTTTGCATCAAGTATCACTATGGTATACAACTGTGTGCAAATCTATCCTGCCTATGAGGTATTGCTGTCCCTAATTGCCGATCCGAAAAAGAGCATGCCGTCAAAGCATACATATGCAAGCCGATTCCCTCAACGCCGATGTAACGCCACCCAATGCATGTCCATGCTTATATTCATTATCTCAAAAGTTCGAAACCTGTCTTGTCTACCACATCAATTAAAGCTCCTTGGAAGCTTTCTTTTCTGCTTCTCGTGCTGCCGATTCGTCTTTCGTCATAAATGATTCACCGCATCCACAAGATTTATCTGTACAATATTAGTAGAATGACTCATTAGACGAGATAATATGGGATGAAAGCTGGGTTAGGTCTTACCAATGTTGGGGTTGTCGAAAACGAACTTTGCGCTTAGTCTATCCTCAACCCAATCCATGATACTGCCAATGATCTTGAGTTGTGCGGTTGGATCGATCAACACTTTAACGCCATCTTGTTCATGAACAATGTCGGTGAGGGCCCCCTTATCAACATATTTCAGGTCATATGCCGAACCGCTGCATCCACGGTTTGCGACGCAAATCTTGATGAGTTTCGCCTTGGGCTGGTTGCTTAGATCGCGCAAAGCTTCGACGGCTCGTGGGGTCAAAGAGATTGTCTTCTTGAGAGGGACGAAATTGTAGCGAGGCCTCTTCTTCACGGGCTTTGTAATCTGGGCTTCAGCTTCGGTGACGCTTATAGGAGGTGGCCGTGTATCATGGACCTGTGGAATGCCCCCGGTTATGGAAGTTTCGGGAACAACAGCTTCGCGGGCTGATGGTGGTGATGGTGGCGGAGGGGTAGAGAGAGTGTATGTTTGCCAAGTACTTGTCTGCATCTTTCGTTTTGCCTCAGCGCTTGCGACTCGGGAAGATGAGAATTGACGGAAGATATGGCGACGACATTCTCGTAGAGGGGTTGATGATTGAGAGGCAAATCTAAAGATAAAGGGCACTGATGATGTCAGAGGAGCAACGGCTCTTTGTAAAGACATCTTGAAGTTAGGTCTTTTCTATTGATATGTTGAGGTCAAATTAAAAGGTTGAAGGATAATAGATTTAAGATTTTGAAACGTTGTTATTATAAACACAGATATTGATAAACATTTGTAGATTGTAGATTCCTTACTAGATTATGTTCCTAGGTTCTTAGAAATCATGGGCTCACAAAGTCGGCTCAGATCGGATGGAATATTGTTTCACCGAGCCAATGAGATAACTTCTATTGTAAGCATTTCAAAGACAATACAAGAGTGAATTACAAATCACGATATAGTAGGTACCAGTAAGGTATATAATAATAAATCATACACAAAACAGGATTGAATAAGGGAGATTTGTTATATTTATATATTTATACAATAGAATGAATTCTCCTCTTGAGAATATAGGAACGCTTGAATTTCCAATGAGAAGCCATGAACTTTATTTAAAGTAAACTATACCCCTTAAAGTTTAGCTTCCGGTACTGATCGGCCGCCGGTTAGAAGCTTACCACAATTGATTCCAAAATCTGGGGGTTGTAAGGTTGTACCTAAGCCCCTTACAACTACCGATACGTAAGGCCAGGCCATCCATTCATAACAATTTAATTAAGAAATCCAATCATTCGATCATTTGCGACAATAGGAGATAGAGAAAGAGATAGAGATAAATATACCTTTCTTTCTTCAACTGAGGAAATATCAATTGCTGCCATGAAGTATGGAGCCATCTCCTCTTACTCAACAAGCTCGCCCTGAAGTATTTCAACCGAAGATTGTCGAGTTATACGAGGCTCTGTTCAAGGTGGGTTTGCGTTGAGGATGCGCATACCCTGTCGCATATCAATACTGATGGATGAATAGGATGAGGATGAACCGGATAAGTCAGAGGGGTTTTGGAAGGAATTCTTTTTGTTGCGACCGAATAAAGCCACATTGCAAAGTATTCTGAATGACTTAAGTGCGGACGACTTGCTACATCTCCAGGTATGAGGGGAAATTGCTGGCATATGAAGGGATCAATACTGATTGTGATAGACGCAAACTAGACAATTGTTTTCAAGGGCAGTGGGATGTATAAAGGCAGGAAATCATCCAGCAAATGCACATGCACTTGATGTATGAGAATTACCCCCTTGGTTTAATTTGACAAGGCTGACAATTGTAGACCATCACAGCCTTTCTATCCGCAGTTCTCTCAAAGAAATATACAAACCCAAGTTCGGATATAATAAATGTTCTTGCAGGATTGAATCATGTGGATGCCATATTTACGGATTTCGTTGCAGCATTGGATGTCACAATTCGAACGGGGAGGAATTGTAGATACACCATCCAAAAAGGGAGAGGATATATACTGACAGCTTTTAGTGGATACGCGCCGCAAAGCTATTGAAGTAGCATTATCAGTGACATCTGGCGCATATCAGACCAGTCTACTTTCCTATTTTACACACCGAGATCTTTTTCCTTCTCTTATGAAAGTATGGGATCCCTTTTCGCACATTTGATCTAAGCTTACATCTCAGTTTATTCAAGATTCAGATACCACTTCACTTGTATTCGAACCATTTACACTTCTCGGACTTTTAGCCAATTACAACAAATTCGAATTTCAAAACCCTTACAGATTACGACTTGACGATTTTGTCAATGAAGGAACCATACAAAAGATAATACGGTCGGTGGGCCATACATGTACGACGTCGAGAGCTAGATATATTGGGATTCAAGATGACATACCAGAAGGATGGTCTGTTGGGAGTACTTTGAGTATGATAGGATTAGGGGCAATGGCTCCCGGTTCTAAACCAACTACTCCGACTCTTGATCCTGATGCTGCAAAGGAAATGTTCTCAAAACTGTAGGTTAAAGCGGAGCTTTTGTCAATTCATGCTGACTATTTTATAGACCCGGAAGCGAAGCCGCTGTTTTATTAGCTACATACGACTTTGCGCATGCGAATAAACTATTCTGCTTCAATCTTGTATCAATACCAGTAGAGAAAGAAGTCGAGCATCCTCTCAGCGCATATCTATCCTTCACGTCCTACATTCTTCAACACGCCCATCTCTCTTCTCGAACCGGTTTCTATGCGCATACCAACCTCATCGTTCTCCGAATCCTAATAGAAGATCAAGTATTATGCAAAAAGATATGCAGCGAGGAAAGCAAGATGCCGGTACGATTGTGTCGACAGAGACAACCATTTTTACCTCTGGTTCGTGCAGATAGGATATTTGCTGCTCATATGTTGGATGTTGCGATTGATGGCATCAACCATAATTTACGGAAAAGATTAGATGTAGATCTTTACATCCTGTGCGTCGGCATCATACTACGAATCATCTCACACCTCTCGCGATCTCGGACACGCCTTACATACCACTGGTCTGAATTATTCCGATCCCTCCTCGCACTTGTCCGATTTCTTACCACTTATACAACGGACTTGAAGAACCTTTTAAACATCGAAATACTTCTCGATGATGTGGTCAACCTCATTGCGTTATCTCTATCTGCAGGTGAGGCATTCTTACCTAGTCCTGTGGCATACGACGACTTGTTTTACAAATTGGTGGAGACTGGAGAGGTATTGGAGAAGTTCCGCGACAACTATAACCTCGGGGAACGGCCGAAGAGTTCAATAGATACATTAATCAGTGTTAGCACACACTATAACCAATTGCTTACGGATGGATCGACGGGAAAGAAGAAACATCTAACCAGTGTACAAGTGGCTGGGGTAATCAAGCAAGGGTATGAGACATTGAGCATTCAAGCTAAAGAGGGACTTGATGGATGGGAAAGATATAGAGAAGCAGACGAGAGGACATTCTTGAAGAAGATGGCTAGGACAGTTGTAGCAGATGTCAAGAGTCTTGTGAGTGAGATTTGAATTCAAAGGAAGATAGGAAGATACCACGGATTGTATAAGTAATATTCGAGTACTCGTAGAAAGAAATACCTTGTTGTACCATTAACTCGTTCTTCTAATTCTCAAAACCTTACACAAGTAGTGATACCTTGATTTAAACTTCTGACAAGACGGCCCAGACGAAAGAGACCTGCGCCAGGGATGGTAATTCATCAATTCCAATTCTTCATACTCCTTATCCTTTTAAGCGCCCAATTGCCGCAAGTGGAGAGGTCGAAAGGTCAAAACCAGGGCAGCCGGGCAAGCTCATACCCGATAGCACAGCGCTAAAATTAATTGATAATTGGGGTAATTAGAAACCAATGAGATAAATATAGAAATAAAGATGAAATGAATTGATTGATTGGCGGAGCAAGATCGATTTGTTTGGGTTATTGCTAGGTTTAGATCTATTGGTGGGGTAAATAAACAGTCACGAGTTTTAACGGTCTTTGATTTGTCTCTTCGATGACCTTCTTTTTATTTGGTTTCACTGGATATTCTTTTATTCTGCTGTGGTGAGTTCTTTGGATACTACTCCGAAGATGTCTTTGAATTGCTTCTGCTTCTGCTTCAGACTTCATTCAGTTCATTGAGGTCGTTGGCTTGGAAGGTCGCGACTTCACTCAATGAATGAAGCAGCACAGTAGGATAGGAGAGTTTGAACTCAGAGAGATCTCAGTATCATTCATATTTACACCTGCTTGCTTTACTGGTAAAAATATCTACGGATAGAGAAGGTGCTTTTCATATCGTCGGAGACGTTACTTTTGATGGAATACCTTCAGGTCATCTATCTCACCGATTTCCACAATGCATCTCCATCTTCATAGACATCTTCATTCTATTACGGTATATGATCAAGCTCATTATTTTTGCTTTCGAGGATATCCATACGCTTTTTATTCAAGTAACACCAGTATCAGGTTTTCTGAAGAGAAGGAAGTTTTGGGTCAGTCAACGCATACCACTGGGCAATCTTTTCGAGGTATCACAAGAACTGGAACGAGGATTTCACCTGAACTGTATCGACCAGAGAGTTAATTTCAAGGTCATTAGACCTAGTTCTTCCATTCAAATCTAATTTCAACCATTGCGTCAGTCATAACATAGAACTATCAATCTACTGGTCAATAGACCTTCGAGGAGAAGCGCCTATTCACCCAAATCACCCCAGTCACCCCCCCTCATTTGGAATTGCGCCTGCGCCTATTACCAAAACTACAATCACCGAGGACGAACCAGATATCAAACATCACCTCTTCGAAATTTCCAGCGCATCAACGAATGACCATAACAATTAAAATCTAATTGTGAATCCGAAACAAAGAATTATTCACCGATTTCTTTGTTTTAACCTCTTGGATCTCAAAATAGTTTCTTGGTTGATACTCGTAGGTTGAAAGTTTTCTTTGTATACCTCTTGTATTAAGTGTATATCCTCGCCAAATAATTCTTTCTTCTCCTCCTTTCTCCTCTTTTCGCATACAGAAATCATTCACTTTACATTTTCCTTCTCTTATTGTCATTCACAACAATAAAATTAATTATTCGCTTCGGCTACAATCGGAAATCAACAACAGAAACAATTGAAACAATAGAGAGAGTTCTCTATTGTGACTCCTAATCTCCTAATTTATTTAACAATTATTCACAATACTATTCCTCATCAACAACCTTAGAGTTAGGTAGTTAAGTTGACTTCAATACTTCTACCACCCATTCAACCTTTCCAAAAGACTTCAGACTCTCTTTGTAATACTCGAACTTTCCTTTTACTTGAGCATCAACTCAACTACCAGCCTGCATAGATTGCATAGACTGACTGCACTGCATCACTGCAACCCAAATACAATAATATCTACCCTGGAGGTAATTTTCTACAAGATAGATTGCTAAGATGGATACATTTAGAGGCTTTCTAGCTTCTCATTCTCAAAAGGGCCAACAAAATCAGCCACTTTCAAACGATTCTTCCTTCCATAGCAATCACGAGATGCAACCATATGGTGCCCATCCGGATATCAACGCCGCACCTGCATCCGATTACTATACACCCTATCTCGGTCTCCGAGCACGTTTATCACAAACCTGGATCAATAGATGGACCGTTCTTTTACTCCTTATTATCGTTCGACTCCTAATATCCTTGGCTAGTATCAAAGGAGACGTCGCCAGCGCCAAAACCGAAGCATTGTCAGCATGCACCAGTGTGGAGAATGTCGGAAGTGCTATGGCTTCTATGCCTCATTATCTTTCTCAAGGTGTTAACAGTATGGCCGCTTCTGGTATCACAAAAGCGGTTAATGGTATGATGCAAATGCTTTACATGAGTCTCACTGGTGTTGAAGAGATTGTTCTTTTCGTCATTCATATGATGACTTCAACATATATGTGTCTCATCACCTTGGCCATTTCCGGTAGTCTTCAAGTCGCCATTCAAATGATCGAGGATGTTGGTGCTTTCATGAACAAATCCATCGCGACCATTACCGGCGATATGTCATCTGGACTCAAATCATTCGAAGATGACCTCAATGGTTTCTTGTCCAAGATCAACATCGGTGGTATCTTTGGAAGTAGTACCTCTCCACCAACCATCGACTTAAGCAGTGAGATCACCAAACTCAACGGTATTCAGATTGATCCAACAACCATGGATAAGGACCTCGCCAAACTCAACGCGTCCCTTCCAACATTCGATCAAGTCCAAAACTTCACCGACAACATCATCAAACTTCCATTCGAAGAAGTGAAGAAACTCGTCAACGAATCCATGGTCGGTTACAAGTTCGACCATACCGTTTTCCCCGTCCCTCAAAAGAAGTCACTCACATTCTGTTCCGACAACACCGCCATTCAAGATTTCTTCCTCGGCCTGGTCAAGGTACTCGACAACGCCAAGAAAATTGTCCTCGTTGTCCTCATCCTTGCAGCTATCCTTGCATGTATTCCCATGGCCTACCGCGAGATCTGGGGATGGCGCAGTATGCAGCGACGAGCTGCCTTGCTTAAAAGCCGCAATTATACCAATGAGATGGATATTCTTTACCAAGCTCATCGTCCATACACTTCACAATTCGGTCTCAAACTCTCGAGAAGATTCAAGAGCCCCAAGAACCAAATCCTTGCGAGATGGTTCATCGCATACGCCACATCCATTCCAGCACTTTTCGTCCTAGCTCTCGGAGTTGCAGGTCTCTTCACCTGTCTCTGTCAATTTCTCATCCTCCGCGCCCTCGAAAAAGAAATTCCAGTTCTCGCTGCCGAGGTTGGAGATTTCGCTGAGCATGTCGTCAAGGCGTTGAACAATGCGTCGGAATCTTGGGCTCTGGGGGCCAACGCTGTCATCAATAACACAAACACACAAGTTAATCATGACGTTTTTGGATGGGTTAACACAACAACAGGTGCTATCAACAAAACATTGAATGTCTTTACGGATGAGATGACCAGTGCTCTCAACGTGACATTTGGTGGAACAATTCTCTACAAACCTATCATGGGGGTCTTTGAATGTTTGGTCGGACTTAAGATTGCGGGTATTGAAAAGGGACTCACATGGGTCAGCGATCATGCTCACGTCGAATTTCCGGAATTCAGCCCAGACGTCTTTTCACTTGGCGCCGCGGCATCTCTTTCAAACTCCACCGCTGATGACAACTTTCTCGCCAACCCAGCAACCAGTACCACGGACGAAATTACCGACGCCGTGGTAAAGGTGGGAAAGAAGCTCGAGGCCGTCATACGACAAGAAGCTCTCATCTCTTCCTCAATCATTATCGTCTACTTTATCATCGTATTTATCGGTTTGGTACGTGTATTGATTGGCATGTGCGGAAGAGATAAATCACGCGCGGAAGGCGGTTCAGGACCGAGGGTTATGTATCCTAACACAGATGCCGAAGCTCCTCCTCACCATTTACCTGAAATCGTCCAGGAAAAGTTCGGCTCGAACGGAGATGGGAGTGACGGTTGGCATCAGGAACACATGAGAGGTGGAGAAGTTCGCATGCCATTTGGTGGTGATGCGGCTTCGGATGATCTTCCATATCATGGTGCTCCGGCCCCAAAATATGAAGCTTCTATATCCATCACGCCTGTTGCAACGGGCGCAGAGAGATTGGGGACGGTGTCGAGTGGTAGAGTTAGTAGTAATAGGGGACCGTGGATGAGAGATGAGAAGTCTAGAGAGGTTTGGGAGGCAGATGATATGCAGAGGAGAGCGACGAGTAGTTATGGTCATGTGGAGGGTGGTGACGAGAAATCGGGGGGATGGGGTGGGATTGGAAATGGAAATGGGGGGTTGATGGTACCGCCGAGGAGGATTTGAGGAATTCGTTAGTGAGCTGGGCTCGTGGGGATTGATGGAGGGATGAATGGATCGGATGGGTTGGGATGGGAATAGATGACTTATGACATATGATTATTACATACAATACATACAGACAATCAGACAGACAGACAGCAGTGCATGCTAGATAGATAGCTAGATGTATGATAGATGATGGGATAGGAAGGAAAGAGAAACGGCGGGAAATAATAAATCCGGATTAATTGAATGGATATCATTCATCATAATGATGCGGAGTACAGGGATGGAAAAGGGAAAATAAAGAATGGAGGAATGGGATGGGAAGGAGGGATGGAGGGATAGGTTTATAGATTTTATTTGTATTGTATTGTATTGTATTGTATTGTATATAGTTAATTAATGATACCTCATACTTTTTCCTTCTCCTTCATCTTATTAAAATCATACCAGTCCAGCCCTAGCAACAGCCCCAGACCGGTTAGATTAGGTAAGGTTAGATTAGGTTAGATTAGGCTAGCGAATTTAACTTGAAATCTAAAACTTATAGGTTTGGCTTGGTTGATTACTAGTATTTATATATGTATATGTGTTTGTGTGTATAGTGGGAATAGAATCATAAAAATACAAATGAGTGTATATGTGTGTGTGGGGATGGATGTATTTGGATGAGGGACGAGGTACGTAGGATAGCGAGGACCGGTATAGTGATACTCTCTAGCCTGACCCTGAGAAGAAGTATTTACGGAGTATGGTATGGTATGATATGGTATGGAATTATATACGGGGTATGTACCAATAGTTTAGTTTAGTTTAGCTTGGAGGTTTTAGGATAGGATTTGGCGAGGAACTCAGGAGAGGTGGGGTGTGAGTGTATTTTGGATATTGGGAGAGAAAAGGGGAGGGGTAGAGTACAGATCGATGGGTTATCTATACATGCATGTGAGGAGGATGTAGAGAGTTTATATGGAATATATATATATACGAGTCTATCTGAACTACTCGAGTAAATTGACAAGAGAGAAGAGTTATTTGCTTGCTTGTATACTCGAATGCAGCATGCATAGCGATATTATAACTTCATATATCGTACGATTGATTCACTTACATCTACTCGTATGTCCTGTCCTTTCCTTTGCTTTTCTCTCCCAGAAATGAAATTTGTTGAGAGGCGTATGAAAACAACAGATAGATGCAAAAGATGTCTCCAAGATTTATGAAATAAGGAAAGAAAGATTCTTGGAAACTTATCGAAGAGTGGAGTGGAAGGGGATGAGCATGAGTACTAGTATATGGGTAGGAAATAGATGAAGATGAGTGATGAATTGTATACCGGTATGTATTCTATACTGTCCGCAAATTATGTATAGAAAAGAATTAGTTTTTGTTTTTGTTTAATTTGATTTATTATATTTATGTAAATAGGTATAACTACCGATCTTCGTCATCATCATTATCATCAATATCATCATCAACAACAAATTAGATGCACTCTTACCTCTTACCTCATACCTCCCAACCAAAACGATCATGCGACTATGCTATTGTATAATATGCGCAATCATTAATTTTTTTTAAGAATAAATCTTGTGTTTTTAATTACAGGATGCCAACTTTTTTTTTAGTAAGTCAAAGCAGGACTGAGTACATACTTCTTTCTACAGGACACGGATACTTCCAATGCTAAACTTAAGTTATGGAAGCTGCTAATGCAGGATATATAGAATAGGATAGGAAATTGGAAATCCTTTCGATCATAATCTTGTAGAAATACGAGTAGAGTGTGATAGCAAGAACAAAGACAAAAGCGAATACTCGAGTAGACTCTGAAGGATATGATCTTGATTTTAAGAATTAGATATAAGTATTTTGTAGGAAAAGTTTTGAATCTGGTATATATATCTATTATTCATTCATGATATAAACAGGATCTAGAATAGTTTCATTTTTTTGGTGCTTCTGCCCGGAAGAGCATCGAATTTTGTTCTAGCGATTCTTTATTCATATTCTTGTGATGTTTTTGCGCAGACCGTAATCTACTCGAAAGAAAAATAAGATTGTTCAAAAGATTTGCACAGATAGTGGGAGTATATCAAGCTTAAGTAGGCAGTCTAGCGAATCTTTTACCAGAAAGAAAGGAGAGTAGGCGAGAAACAGGGAAGGAGCTCACCCGGTAAGCAGCAAGCTATTGGAAAGTGGATAAAATATGGTGCGCAACAACGAGATACAAATGGAGGCAGATTTAGATAGAATGCATATGTATATGTAGCACTCAAATGCAGCTTGAGAAACGCACAAAGATGAATATGTACATGACGAAGATGAAGATGAAAATAATGGTCATTGGAATAACTCTCAAGGACCAATCAGAATCGGATTCGAAAGAAACTTGATCTTCTGAATTAGATATCTAGCAAAGCTTTAGAGCGATGTCAAAGGTAATCTATTCGATATAATTCTGGCAGGTAAAGGCAGATTTGAGGTGCATACTACATAGGGTGCCGATTTAAACGACTCCTATTGCAGTACCTTTTCAAGTACCTTTTCAGAACTCATCGTGGTACCAATTCAGGACACCTCTTGTTTCCGTCATGTCTTGCTTCAAGCTCAGTACTATTGACTCCGAGGTAAGTAGAGTTATCAGTGTTTACAGGAACCTATCCTTGTTTTCCAAGTAGGTCGCTCTACTATGCAATAGTGACAGTAAACTCTAATCTCACAATATTCAAACCTCAATATTCAATACATGACTCTATTACTGTCCATATTATTATATCTGAGTTGCCATCCCTAACCTCTCTATCAACATTCTAAAAACTGAGCAGCACTGTACTTAGGGCTAGGGTTATGCTTAGGCTTAGGCTTAGGCTTAGGATTCAATTAAGGTTTATACATACATACAACTTAGGAACCTTTATGAATCTGAATAATTGCTTCTATCAACGCCCCTGTAACTTTGACATTTATTATACGGTAAATACCTGGAATAGCATCATTTTCAACTTTGATACCCGAAATAGCATATAAACTTTCTAATTAGGCCTGAATTAACACATTGTGTTATTTCAGTCGTTTTTAAATAATGTGTTAATCTGGTCTCAAAGTTGATTCGTTATTTTGGTGTAAGTAATAGCCCCATGTCCTCTCGTGTAGCCCCTCCCCTCCCCCTCTCCCCATATCCTTTCGTGTGAATAACACTATTTTGTTGCGATCAGATTAATATATAAATTTGTAACCAGAATAGTATCATTTCTGTTCCTGAGACCAGATTAACATATTTTATTTTGCGACCAGAATAACACAAAAGACTTAACCTGAAATAGCATATGTTATACCTCGATTAGCACTTAGGCTATTTCGGGTATCAAAGTTCAAAATGATGCTATTCCAGGTATTTACCGATTATATTTATATCCAAAACTACTATACTTGATATAGCATTATTAAGTCGACCCTATCGCTACTCAACCCCTATTACCTCACCAGATACTTCTCTCGAATCTCGATATATGTGCGCAGAAGCAGGAGCGTGTCGCGATGACTTGGGATGTTTAAGCCTACCGGTATGCCAAAGGGAATATTAGGATAGGTAGTTGTCGAATTTGACATTAACAGGACAAATTTGGATATGAATCATAGGATTGAGAGAAGAAATTTGAACACAGCATAGCACGCGAGAAGGAGAAAGTACTTTGCAGGAAAAGACGATGGGTCATTCAAACGCAGCAGTCTAGTCACTTCGATGAGTGAACGACGGCTTTTATTATATTTGCAGGACTTAAGATAGCGGCTGGAACAATTAGTGGTTTGGAAGTAGAACGTGAGGTCAGGGGATTATAGGATATGAGCCACTAGGCAATAAAAGGAGCTAAAAGTTGCAGTAAAGGAGTAAAATGTGATAGTAAAAACGCTAGCAAGACTTCCAGAAATTATCACTGTTGATCTTAGATTTTTGCTATCGTTATACCTTCATCATCGCCGGACTTTAATCATGAGCGACAGCGAGTGTGAATGTCGTATTGACACTACCATGTCGTATTGTCACTACCATGTCGTATGTCACTACCATTCTCTTGGCCTGCTATCATCACCATCGTTGCCATCGTTATAAACACTCTTTCATTTGTTCTCATATTTCCCCTCACCATGTTTCCTCTCTCCCCTCAACCGTCAACCGTCAACCGTCAACCACCAGACCGCGCACCCTACCCCATCACCCCCTCATCTCCACATACCTTGGAAGCTCAATCGCCTCATCCATTACATCACTACACCACTACACCATTACTAATACACAACCCTAGACCTCACACCCAAAGTTTCCTTCCATTTTATAACACGAGACTTGTCATCGGCATACCAGTATCAATACCAACACCCCACGCATTCAAACTTCAAATTTCCAGCACTACAGGTCTAGCTATATGTTAAATGTTAATTCAATCTCCCTCCAACCATGAATCAATACCACCTTACAAATTACCCATTACCCAATCAAACCATATCCAATTAAATCAAACCAAATCAATATCCCTCCCCTCTTCATTCATTCAAGTCAAAGAATAAACCCTTCCCCCACCCCCTTTCGTCCCCCCTCATCCCATCCTCTCCCCTCCTCTCACATCCTCCTCCTACTCCTCCTACTCCTCCTACTCCTCCTCACCTTCCATTCTCTCCTCCCTCCTCTCCCTCCCTCCTCCATTCTCCCCTTCCCTTCTATCCTCTCCACCCCAAAGATCAACACCCTATAACCCTACAACCCTACAACCCTAAACCTAACCACCGATTTACACATAACAAACAACATATAACATATAACACATAACACACACCATACACTGCCTCCTCTTTCCTCTACCCTATCTTACTATAGCATGCCCTATTACATCCCACCCTAACCTATCCTACTATCCTACTCTCCTCCACATCATCACTATATTTAATTTACACTTTGTACTTTATATTACGCAAAAAAGAAGAGAAGAGAAGAGATTCAAAAGAATATTGATATAATGGTATAGAATAGGAGGTTAGAGTATTGGAATATAAGGATATAGAAATTATAGGAATATGATGTTTCTACACACATAACATCTACACATTCTCACACCCATACACCTACCTATACATTACACATCTACACATACACATCCACACAGTACATACATACACATCCACATATCTATACACCACCTATATATCCACACATCCACACATCTACACATCCATCCATCCCCACAATCTCACAATCTCACAATCTCACAATCTCACAAACCAAACACACAACAATACCCATCATCCTCATCCCCATCCCATCCCACCCTCTCATCCCCATCCCCTCATACCATCATCCTCATCCCCTCATACCTTCATCCCCATTCTCATCCCCATACCCTTATCCCGCACCCTCGCCCTACTAAAGAAAGGGGGATACTATATCCTTGCACCCACTTCACACACTCATTGCCCTCATTACTTATTTCACTCACTCATCACACTCATTACTCATTACTCATTACACTCGTACTCCAATATTTTAGTCTTAGTTATAGTCAACATCAACATCAATCCTCAATCAATCGAGGTAATCATCATCACCGTGGAGGGGGAGGCAAGAACTTCCTTCCCCTCCATGCATCCATGCATCCATGCTTTCTTTATCCTCACCTTAGATTCCCTCCCTAGAGATTGAGTGTAATAAATAGTAATAGTAAAAGTAAAAGTAAATGAATATATACTCGAGTATATATATGTGCATGTGTATGTAGAACGTGTGATTTGATTGGATCTGATCTAATCTCATACCATTCATTCATTCATTCATTCATTCAGCACTCCATTCCAAATCCAAGTTTCAACACTGCATTGTATGAATGTTTCTTTACTCGTTCGTCCGTCCCTTGGTATACCGAGTATTTCTCGCTACCATATGCTACCATATGCTATTATCCCCGCATTCCATGAAAAGACTACATTGCTAATCCATAGGTATGGTATCTCCTTCATTTCCACGTGGTATCTCCTCAATTTCCAAGTGGTATATCGTCTCCCTACAAGTCCCCTATATGCCATGCCACCGAGACAGAGACAATAAGCTAGCCATGGTATCGGAAAGTTTTTCAAACAACTTCCTATCCAACCAAACGCCAAACTCCATCGACACTTCCTATCCCTCCCAATTCTATTCTTTCAAGAAACCCGAGTCGTTTTGTTCCGAGATTCCAATCGGCCTATTATACTTTCCGGTCGAATTAATCGTCTTGCAATTCTTCGTCTCATGGCATCTCCCCTCAATTCTTCGTCTCATGTCATCTCCCCTTTGCTGCATCAATCCTTTGCCGTAAAACTTCATTTCCTTGCATTAACTCCTCCAACCAATCCGCCGTCATTACCAATATCGCACTCTTACTAAACCCACCCCCTCTTAATCCCGGTACCAATTCCCCTAAATCTTCAAATCCTTCTCGAATCAGTGTCCGTCGTTTTTGTTCACTCTTGATATGATTTTCTCTCTTTTGATTTTCCGTCAGATTTTCCCTACTAATTTTTGCCGCGGCCGAAGTAGATTTTCGTCGTTTATGGCCTCCTTCCAATGATCCGGGTGAACTACCAATACCTTTCACAACGGATTTTCGTTTCTTCCTTTCATCAACTATAGGTAGTGAATCCTCATCATCCTCTCCTCCATCTTCCGTAGAACTAAATTTACTCTTCCGTCGTTTCCTTGGTGGTTCTGTATCTTCTTTTTTGACGACTCCCGAACTTTGTCTTCGTGTTGGTAAATCCCTTTGTACCATCGGACTACTAGGTCTTGTAGTCTCCGCACTACTTTCCGCACCCAAAGCAGCCCCGATAAATTCATTCAACGCCTTTAATCGTTTACTTTCCGCTTCCTCAATATTCGCATTCGATGGCGGAACAAATCCTTGTGATGATCCAAATCCCACATCAGAACCCCATCTTATATCAACTTTTTGAGGAACAGGTTTAGGTCTTCTCATGAGATCCGGCCCGGCATGATTCGGTCCAAACATCATTTCGGTATATAATGTATCGCGCATAAATCCATCTCGAGGTCTATCGAGTCCTAAAGTTGGAGTGGGATAATGTGACATAGATTGTGGTCTGACATGGCGATTTAATGATTGCGATGGTATCCCATGATTTCCAAATAATGTTTCGCTACCTATACTATGCGATCGCGCATTGGAACCATTTTGTAATACCGTAGCAGCTGCTAAAACTTCTGCGGATGTATTTTGAGGTGGTAGATGAGTTTGAGATAACGGGGGATGCATTCCATTATTCATTTCTCCAAAATTCATAATTGACATCTCATTCGAAAGTTGAGGTTGTTGACCAAATGTAACTCTCGTTCCCATGAATGTCGGTGGTAATTCCTCCCATCCTCCACCCAATTCCCCTCCATCATGTGTATTTGAAAAGAAGTCGTAATTAAAATGATCGGAGCTTACACCATCGAAAAAGCTATCGAGAAGGTTGGATTCGCTATCATCGAGTAGTGGTGGACCTGGTGCTGGAGCAGTAGGTGAAGGGAAAGGAAATGTGGAATTTGAATCAAATGCATCTGACCCATCATAATATATTAGTAGGTACTCTCTGTGCTCCTCTCATGTGTTGATAGATGTGAAAGATACTTACAGCCAAATGGCATATCGAGGTTCGGTGGTTTCGACGAACCCATACTAGGACGTTGAATCGCGAGCATGAGTGCCGGGAGAGAAATTATATGTAAAAGAGATTCATTCGTCAAAGGATTATGAAAGAAGTTGCAAAGAGTTACTCGAGTAGGTAGGTATGAGATATGTATAATGAGTACTGATATGTACAAAATGATAGATTTTGCGATTCGGCGTTATTAGATAGCTGTGTGACTGTAGCTTATGATTCTTTGTGATTGATTGGCTTGAGTTGAGGTTGGAAAATAATATGTGAAGGTTGATTTGATGTTGATGTTGATGTTGATGTTGATGTTGATGTTGATGTTGATGTTGATGTTGATGTTGATATTGATGTTGATGTTGATTATTCCTTCACGAACCTTCTTAAAAGGGAGAATAAATATGAGAAACATTAAAATCAATGAATTCAATACATTTCATTTAACACTTTGAATCTAGACTTTCAAATTGATTTCCATCTCTTTCTATTGGGAAAGCTTCCTCGTGAATTAGATTGGCGG